AAAGAATTCAAAAAATTAATAATAAATCATATGAGAGTCCAAATTCAGCGCGTCCAATTTTTTTAGTCTCCAGACAATACTTACTTTTTATTTTAATCATTTGGATTGCAATTTTTCTATTTTAATAATTTTTCTGCAATTTTTAATTGCTTGACAATCCTTTTTTGCCATTTTAAAAAAGAATTCCAACAATTAATAATAAATCATAGGAGTGTTCGAATTCAACGCCGCCATTTTTTTAGACTTCAGACAATAATTACTTTTTATTTTAATCATTTGGATTGCAATTGTTTATTTTTTAATAATTTTTCTATAATTTTTAATTGTTTGACAATCCCTTTTTTTATTTTAATAAAAAATTTAAAAAATTAATAATAAATCATACGAGAGTCTGAATTCGGCGCTGCCATATTTATATATAATAAAGTTTTCTTATTTTGGGGTAAGCCCTCAAAAGGAGGTCTAAAGTTGAAGGATTTAAAGGTGTCTGAGAAGTAGACAATGCATTGGGGCAGGAGAATATATGCTTTCACAATATAAGGGCTTAAAAATCCAACACAAGAACCATGCTCTTCTTGCTTTCCAATCCCACTGAACTAAAATAATTTCCTAATTTTTGTTGATTCCCTCATCTTCCACTTAATCTACTGGGATATGTATCACTAGCAGTAGCACCATAGAATCACTCTTCGACGTTCAATGGCATTGTCTTCACCACCGCTTCATTCATGTATGTACTCCTCTCAGTTTCAATATTGCTTGGTAAAATGTATCTAAAATGTTCTAGGTTTTTTTCTCACTTCGTCTGAAAAAATATTGTACAAAGCCGGTTGAGGGTTATATAGCTAATTATATTCAGGGTTATATAGCTAATTATGTTCCTACTCCCACGCAGATTTCGTGACACAACTATGGAGGGGATAGGTAAGAAACAAAAGTGGTCAACTTTTCTATGTATTTAAGGGTGAGTCTTTTAATGAGTCACGGCTTACTGAGTTGATTCAGTTTGCCAAGGATGCATTTGTCGCACCTAGTTCAAAATTGGACTCTTTTTAGGGATTGCATTAATATTGTAATCAAAATTTGAAGCAAAAAATTCACATATTTTTATTTTTCCTTTTAGAAAATATAAGGGACAGTCATGTTATTTTACGATTATTCATAGGGTGTTAGGATAATTTACTTAACAAAAGAAATGACTGGAAATAATTAGTTTGAGTGATTCATGTAGTAAATAAATATAAACCAAGTGGTCCATAAAACATTGATAGCCCCACACACTGGCCATCCTAAAGGCCAGACCTTTTTTCCGGAAATATGGCTCTCTGCCTTGGCTCCACTGGCACGTCAAATAAGCTTTATCTAAGAAGTTCTAGTATATGTTTCCACACCTGCACTACCTAAGTTCTAGTATATGTTTCCACACCTGCACTACCTAAGTTCTAGTATATGTTTCCACACCTGCACTACTCGATCGAGCGAATATTATTTGAGGGAAAAAATATATGGTGTAGTAGTTATACTATGTCAGTATTGCCACACGAAATATTTAAAAGTTCCACTTTAATAGTTGTCCGAAATTCTTGGGAGTTGCAGAAAGAGAACTTCGAAGGTAAGTGGAAACCAGTGGCGTCCATGTAGGGCTTTTCAATGCTCAAGTCAAATTTGTCAATTTTGGGTGAAATATAAACGTCAGGAAAATGGGTTGAAGATGTGATCACTAATAATTGTTAATCTTATTTTTAGGCACAAGTTTCATTCTTTAGTTTTTCTTAATTGGTACTCATAAAGTGTATACACTAGTGTTGGGCCTAAACCTTTTACCCTGGACTGAACTCTCTCGTGTCACATGCAAACGAATGGCTTTGCATATGAAATCATGGGCTTAGCTCAAGAGCTAGAATAATTGAAGTAAGACTTTATTAGCCCGGTAAGAACTCTTTATTTTTTCTTGGCAAACACAAGGCCCAAAAATAATTGTTCCTTTAACAATGTGTTATTCCAATTGGGTAATCTCACTTTTGTGCAGAATGATTTTTTAAATACAATTCGAGCAATGCTAAATTAGGATAAAAAGTTTTTTCAGGAAAAAAAATTCCATGCACTATTTCTCTCTTAAATGAAATTGCATATGGAATCTTACCCCCTTAGTCTCCATTCAATTTTCGTTCTTAGTCATTTTGTTTCTAAAACTTAACGGAAGCACACACAAATGTATTAATGGACCAAATTGGATGTCTTAGGCCCACTAGAGTATTTTTCCTATAAATTATTAGATCATGTAATTGGGCCAACAAACAGAAAAGGTTGGCCCATAAGTATGGATTTGTTACTCTTCCATTCGGGTTGGAAGGGGCAAGATTAAAGCCCACCCGGCCTATCAACAAGAATGATACTAATTCTCTTATCACCCTTTAGAACTCAAATCCACTTTAAAGTTTAAAAGTTTAAATTTCATCAACCAGTATCCAGGGATTTAACTCACTACCCAAATTTCTTTTTATTACTTTTCAGCGTTGCTTTTTTGTATCCTTCTAGAGACTTCTCCATTACCACCATTGCCTCTTAGGCTCCCTTTTCCTTCTTGTTTGCTACAACATGAAAACATAGTAAGCAGCATTTACCATTAAGAACCTGCACTAAATCTCGCCTAACTTAATCACAAAAAAAAACAATCACCTGTCTCAGTCAAAACAATTGAACCACATCCTTCACTTCTAATGAATCATCTACCCCCTTTAAAAATTAAAGTCGTATTTATGATATTTTTAAGAAAGAGTCAGGGAGCATCTACTGATAGTAATGAATACAAAGAACATGATTTCCCTTAGTGCAGTGGATCATCAAAAAATTGAGAAAATCTATATATCGGATAAGACCATCAACTCATTTCTTGGTCAGAAAAAGTATAATTTTAACTCAAAAATATTAATGCATCGATTGGCTCCGATTTTTCATTTGTTGACTGTCCCCCTTCTGAAAAAAAGGGAACGTTACAAAGTATTTTTATTTGACTTGATACATTCTTTTTTTAAAAAAAATTTAACAGTCAAGAATGTCCGAACACATAAAGAGTGAAAAATCCCATCAAAGCTTGGAAAAAATCTCAAATCATGCTAATAGTCTTCCCGTAAATTCCATATAAGCTGTGATTTATAAAGCATAATGCTTAGAATAAGTTATCTGCAGCAATCATCATAAGGTTAGGTATAAAAGAATGAGAGCGTGCGGAAGTGTCAACAAACAAAGCCTTACGTTTTGAATCCTAGATTTGGATATGAGATTGACAGAATCTTTCATGTTGGCCTATAAAGTAACCGTGTAGTGGCCTAGTTGATGATAAAAATATGATAGACAATATGTACAACCAATAAATTATTACTATATTTTTTGCTATTTTATAACCTTGAGAACTGGATTCCATAATTCATTACATCAACTTTCCTTAATGACACTATTTCTCGGTACCATTTCGAAATATTATTAGTGATTTAAATCTTTAGTAAATTTATTTGTAACCATTAATCGTAATAAAGTAAAGTAAAATAATAAAATATATTTTTTTAAAGAATATCTTATTTTTGTTTAATATTTAATGAAAAATGAGGTATGATACATAACTTTACCATAATTAGACCAAATTCTTTGACATCAGTTCGGAAAGTTTAAACTGAAACTATCAAATTACAAAATGAGATCTTTTAATAATACACAACCCAAACAGAATTAAAATCGTTGAAACCTAAATACATATTATCCCTAGAATGATTGGATCCCGTCAATTTTTCCAATGAGATCCCTTTATCCACCACTCATCTAAGAGATGATAAGCGTTTAAATTGCAATTTTTGAGTTCCATTTGGTTTGTGTAATATTTTTCCTTTTAAAATATTTTCTCCATATTTTTTTTGGCAAATTATTTACGGTGAATTCAAACAGAACACATTATATATATATATATATATATGAGTCACTTACTCATTAATGATGGATGACCTATCAAAAAAATAAATTAAAGAAAAATATATTGGAGGAGATTTGGATCAAAATTGCATTAAATTAGGATGATCCGCCACACATGGTTGCAGAACTTAGAGAATGTGCACCTATAGATATATAGAATCTAGTTCGTGCATACAGGTGAAGCCTGTAATATGGCAGCTCACTGGGGGAAAAACTCCCTCTCTCTATGTGGATGTGTGCCTATTTCTGAAATTATATACCAGAAAAATGGTTCGGACCCGTCATCTCGATGAAGATTGAAGTCACAGAATGTGCAATGACTTTACACATTTTGTTCATCCCATTGGGTACATGTCACATTGCTAACCTGTATCTTTAGAAAGATTGCAGTGGTAATCCCTCTTTGTTCACACCACAATCATTTACTTTAGGAACAAACATTAAAGAAAGGGCCACATCGTTACAAATTCGATAGGCACTAAGTTCTCTTCAGCCAGTGGGATGTGAAAGGCAAAGAGAAGAAAATGAAAGATAGCCAACTTGTAGTAGTAGTAGTAGTGATTTTATTTTATATTTCGAAACCTAATTAGCTCTGTATACAGAGGCAAATAAAGTACATTTTTGTTTCGTGATCAGAAAAGCACTAAGTTCAAACTCGTGATAGTAATCATAAACTTTACAATGATAATAGTAATTTATTCCAACAAGGGTGATGAAAATGACAGGAAATATTAATAAAAGAGATTGAAATTCCCTTCACTAATTTTTTAAATTGTTCTCAAGAGCAAAACATTGGTTGGCCGACCTTTTTTTTTTTTTTTGTTAGATGATGAAATTTGAACCCACAGTTATCTGTGAGCACCTTTACCATTGAACTTCTCTTTCACCTCTACGGACGACCGACCTTTTTATTTTTATTTTTTTTCCAGACCATCGACTCACACACACACACACATATATATAGAATTTAGCTGTTAACTGATTAGCTCCTTAATTAGTAGGAAAAAAATTGCAGATTATATAGAATTATTACTACACAAAAAACTTGATTATGACATTACAATACGAAATAGGCCGAGTATAAAGAAAAACAAATTAAAAAACGCCATATTTTCTCTCATATGATACCATTTTCTTCTCCACGGTACCCATTTGCATCTCCTTTATCTTCCCCACTATCTAAGAATTCTTTCATGTAGTACTCAAATTTATTAACCACACTCTCCGGCAACGACACAAGCACCCTAACTGCATGAAAATCTCCGATCACCGGCAGAAATAAGCAATAAATATCACTGGTCAGAGGTCCCATGTGCAAAGGCTTTCCTTCTCCAAAATCCAAATCCTCTAACCCTAATTTAGACCACTGTGATATGACCAAGCTTGAAGAAATATCTGTCTTCACTGTCTTATCCTCCAACAAATCTATGACAGACTTCACGTAATCATCAGTTAGTGACGCTTTAGCTTCTTGCACCAACTTCACCCCACTACGCAAATTAGCAGCGACCAAATCCTTGACCGTGGCCTCGGCGCATCCTAGCACGAACCCATTTCCGTAATACCCCTGTGGCATTTCTGTCTTTAACCTTCTCCTAACGTTAACGGAGAAAAGAAGCTTGACATTGAAGGAGGGCGACAAGTCCAGTGATTTGACCCAGGAGCGCCATGTGTGGGATGCTAGAACCTCGAAGGTGGTGCATTTTAGCGAGGGTACGCATTGTCTCTTCAGGTGAAGGATCTGTGAGGGGGTAAAGATTAAGGATGTGGGCACGAGTGGCTGAGACTGTAAATATTGGTTAAGGGTGAGGTCTGATTGAGGACTATACTTNCCATAATTCATTACATCAACTTTCCTTAATGACACTATTTCTCGGTACCATTTCGAAATATTATTAGTGATTTAAATCTTTAGTAAATTTATTTGTAACCATTAATCGTAATAAAGTAAAGTAAAATAATAAAATATATTTTTTTAAAGAATATCTTATTTTTGTTTAATATTTAATGAAAAATGAGGTATGATACATAACTTTACCATAATTAGACCAAATTCTTTGACATCAGTTCGGAAAGTTTAAACTGAAACTATCAAATTACAAAATGAGATCTTTTAATAATACACAACCCAAACAGAATTAAAATCGTTGAAACCTAAATACATATTATCCCTAGAATGATTGGATCCCGTCAATTTTTCCAATGAGATCCCTTTATCCACCACTCATCTAAGAGATGATAAGCGTTTAAATTGCAATTTTTGAGTTCCATTTGGTTTGTGTAATATTTTTCCTTTTAAAATATTTTCTCCATATTTTTTTTGGCAAATTATTTACGGTGAATTCAAACAGAACACATTATATATATATATATATATATGAGTCACTTACTCATTAATGATGGATGACCTATCAAAAAAATAAATTAAAGAAAAATATATTGGAGGAGATTTGGATCAAAATTGCATTAAATTAGGATGATCCGCCACACATGGTTGCAGAACTTAGAGAATGTGCACCTATAGATATATAGAATCTAGTTCGTGCATACAGGTGAAGCCTGTAATATGGCAGCTCACTGGGGGAAAAACTCTCTCTCTCTATGTGGATGTGTGCCTATTTCTGAAATTATATACCAGAAAAATGGTTCGGACCCGTCATCTCGATGAAGATTGAAGTCACAGAATGTGCAATGACTTTACACATTTTGTTCATCCCATTGGGTACATGTCACATTGCTAACCTGTATCTTTAGAAAGATTGCAGTGGTAATCCCTCTTTGTTCACACCACAATCATTTACTTTAGGAACAAACATTAAAGAAAGGGCCACATCGTTACAAATTCGATAGGCACTAAGTTCTCTTCAGCCAGTGGGATGTGAAAGGCAAAGAGAAGAAAATGAAAGATAGCCAACTTGTAGTAGTAGTAGTAGTGATTTTATTTTATATTTCGAAACCTAATTAGCTCTGTATACAGAGGCAAATAAAGTACATTTTTGTTTCGTGATCAGAAAAGCACTAAGTTCAAACTCGTGATAGTAATCATAAACTTTACGATGATAATAGTAATTTATTCCAACAAGGGTGATGAAAATGACAGGAAATATTAATAAAAGAGATTGAAATTCCCTTCACTAATTTTTTAAATTGTTCTCAAGAGCAAAACATTGGTTGGCCGACCTTTTTTTTTTTTTTTGTTAGATGATGAAATTTGAACCCACAGTTATCTGTGAGCACCTTTACCATTGAACTTCTCTTTCACCTCTACGGACGACCGACCTTTTTATTTTTATTTTTTTTCCAGACCATCGACTCACACACACACACACATATATATAGAATTTAGCTGTTAACTGATTAGCTCCTTAATTAGTAGGAAAAAAATTGCAGATTATATAGAATTATTACTACACAAAAAACTTGATTATGACATTACAATACGAAATAGGCCGAGTATAAAGAAAAACAAATTAAAAAACGCCATATTTTCTCTCATATGATACCATTTTCTTCTCCACGGTACCCATTTGCATCTCCTTTATCTTCCCCACTATCTAAGAATTCTTTCATGTAGTACTCAAATTTATTAACCACACTCTCCGGCAACGACACAAGCACCCTAACTGCATGAAAATCTCCGATCACCGGCAGAAATAAGCAATAAATATCACTGGTCAGAGGTCCCATGTGCAAAGGCTTTCCTTCTCCAAAATCCAAATCCTCTAACCCTAATTTAGACCACTGTGATATGACCAAGCTTGAAGAAATATCTGTCTTCACTGTCTTATCCTCCAACAAATCTATGACAGACTTCACGTAATCATCAGTTAGTGACGCTTTAGCTTCTTGCACCAACTTCACCCCACTACGCAAATTAGCAGCGACCAAATCCTTGACCGTGGCCTCGGCGCATCCTAGCACGAACCCATTTCCGTAATACCCCTGTGGCATTTCTGTCTTTAACCTTCTCCTAACGTTAACGGAGAAAAGAAGCTTGACATTGAAGGAGGGCGACAAGTCCAGTGATTTGACCCAGGAGCGCCATGTGTGGGATGCTAGAACCTCGAAGGTGGTGCATTTTAGCGAGGGTACGCATTGTCTCTTCAGGTGAAGGATCTGTGAGGGGGTAAAGATTAAGGATGTGGGCACGAGTGGCTGAGACTGTAAATATTGGTTAAGGGTGAGGTCTGATTGAGGACTATACTTGTCGGGGACAGTTTTGGTAAATTCCGTGTGTGTGGTGGTTGTTTGTGGGGGCTTTCGGGGTTTTAAAACGTGGCGTGAGTGGAACGGGTTGATTGGTAAATTGGAACCAGGTTTGGTGGTGAGGTGGGCCCAGGCATTTAGGAATTGCGATGTGCCAATGCCGTCACATAGACAGTGATTTATCGCGGTGCATAGAATCATTCCTCCACAACGTAGATTCGTTATCTGCAAAGAGGAATGAGGTAAATTTGCAATACGCATAGGGGTGGATTCGTCATTCCGTAAAAAAATAATGACACTAAACCCAGAGTTCACCAACCAAGCTGGTGATAAGGACGAAAGAGAGAAGGCCAATATCAGTACTGTCACAGGTGTAGTAGGCCAATATCAGTACTATCATTGCTAGTGTAATTACATTAATTTTTCTTACTGATATGATATATAAACCATATATGACTAAGACACTCGGATCCATATCATCTCGATTTTAAACTTATCAATTTTGATTAAAATTAATTAATTTGGGATAAATTTAATGAGACCTAATAAATTCAGCGGTTAAAGTTAGAATTGCAAGTTGGTAAGTGCAATAATTTCCAGCAAAAAGTCAAATCCAATAGTTTTCTTGCTTTGGTACATCCCAGGGACGGATTGAACAGTTCAAATAACTATTGGATATGCCTTTTTTTAATGGGTAACTTTTTATGTACTAAATTTGTGTATTAAAATTTGTATTAAATTGACTGTAGCAGTTGGATCAATTAAAGGATTTATTGATCCAACGACTACAAAAGATTTGATGTNCAGAATGTGCAATGACTTTACACATTTTGTTCATCCCATTGGGTACATGTCACATTGCTAACCTGTATCTTTAGAAAGATTGCAGTGGTAATCCCTCTTTGTTCACACCACAATCATTTACTTTAGGAACAAACATTAAAGAAAGGGCCACATCGTTACAAATTCGATAGGCACTAAGTTCTCTTCAGCCAGTGGGATGTGAAAGGCAAAGAGAAGAAAATGAAAGATAGCCAACTTGTAGTAGTAGTAGTAGTGATTTTATTTTATATTTCGAAACCTAATTAGCTCTGTATACAGAGGCAAATAAAGTACATTTTTGTTTCGTGATCAGAAAAGCACTAAGTTCAAACTCGTGATAGTAATCATAAACTTTACAATGATAATAGTAATTTATTCCAACAAGGGTGATGAAAATGACAGGAAATATTAATAAAAGAGATTGAAATTCCCTTCACTAATTTTTTAAATTGTTCTCAAGAGCAAAACATTGGTTGGCCGACCTTTTTTTTTTTTTTTGTTAGATGATGAAATTTGAACCCACAGTTATCTGTGAGCACCTTTACCATTGAACTTCTCTTTCACCTCTACGGACGACCGACCTTTTTATTTTTATTTTTTTTCCAGACCATCGACTCACACACACACACACATATATATAGAATTTAGCTGTTAACTGATTAGCTCCTTAATTAGTAGGAAAAAAATTGCAGATTATATAGAATTATTACTACACAAAAAACTTGATTATGACATTACAATACGAAATAGGCCGAGTATAAAGAAAAACAAATTAAAAAACGCCATATTTTCTCTCATATGATACCATTTTCTTCTCCACGGTACCCATTTGCATCTCCTTTATCTTCCCCACTATCTAAGAATTCTTTCATGTAGTACTCAAATTTATTAACCACACTCTCCGGCAACGACACAAGCACCCTAACTGCATGAAAATCTCCGATCACCGGCAGAAATAAGCAATAAATATCACTGGTCAGAGGTCCCATGTGCAAAGGCTTTCCTTCTCCAAAATCCAAATCCTCTAACCCTAATTTAGACCACTGTGATATGACCAAGCTTGAAGAAATATCTGTCTTCACTGTCTTATCCTCCAACAAATCTATGACAGACTTCACGTAATCATCAGTTAGTGACGCTTTAGCTTCTTGCACCAACTTCACCCCACTACGCAAATTAGCAGCGACCAAATCCTTGACCGTGGCCTCGGCGCATCCTAGCACGAACCCATTTCCGTAATACCCCTGTGGCATTTCTGTCTTTAACCTTCTCCTAACGTTAACGGAGAAAAGAAGCTTGACATTGAAGGAGGGCGACAAGTCCAGTGATTTGACCCAGGAGCGCCATGTGTGGGATGCTAGAACCTCGAAGGTGGTGCATTTTAGCGAGGGTACGCATTGTCTCTTCAGGTGAAGGATCTGTGAGGGGGTAAAGATTAAGGATGTGGGCACGAGTGGCTGAGACTGTAAATATTGGTTAAGGGTGAGGTCTGATTGAGGACTATACTTGTCGGGGACAGTTTTGGTAAATTCCGTGTGTGTGGTGGTTGTTTGTGGGGGCTTTCGGGGTTTTAAAACGTGGCGTGAGTGGAACGGGTTGATTGGTAAATTGGAACCAGGTTTGGTGGTGAGGTGGGCCCAGGCATTTAGGAATTGCGATGTGCCAATGCCGTCACATAGACAGTGATTTATCGCGGTGCATAGAATCATTCCTCCACAACGTAGATTCGTTATCTGCAAAGAGGAATGAGGTAAATTTGCAATACGCATAGGGGTGGATTCGTCATTCCGTAAAAAAATAATGACACTAAACCCAGAGTTCACCAACCAAGCTGGTGATAAGGACGAAAGAGAGAAGGCCAATATCAGTACTGTCACAGGTGTAGTAGGCCAATATCAGTACTATCATTGCTAGTGTAATTACATTAATTTTTCTTACTGATATGATATATAAACCATATATGACTAAGACACTCGGATCCATATCATCTCGATTTTAAACTTATCAATTTTGATTAAAATTAATTAATTTGGGATAAATTTAATGAGACCTAATAAATTCAGCGGTTAAAGTTAGAATTGCAAGTTGGTAAGTGCAATAATTTCCAGCAAAAAGTCAAATCCAATAGTTTTCTTGCTTTGGTACATCCCAGGGACGGATTGAACAGTTCAAATAACTATTGGATATGCCTTTTTTTAATGGGTAACTTTTTATGTACTAAATTTGTGTATTAAAATTTGTATTAAATTGACTGTAGCAGTTGGATCAATTAAAGGATTTATTGATCCAACGACTACAAAAGATTTGATGTATGTTTTAAAACATATAACATTACTATTTGACAATAAAAATTAAATTATTTATCATAAGACTCGTGCAAATGAATTGCGTATATTTGATGAACAATAATGATATGTATATTACTTGATATAATATGATCTTAATCATTAAATATTTAATAAATTTAATTTGATTCACTAATTTAATGAGTCATATTAAAATAGTGCACAAAGGTACGAGAAAGGGAGAGAAGTGGGGTGTGCGTAGAATTGTGGGTGGAGTTCATCATACAACTGAAAAGACTAAACTGACACCACATTGCCATCAAGGTTATGGGCGCGCGCACACAAAAAAATTAAAAATTAAAAAAGAAAGAAAGAATTTAGTCTTATATTATCGACTAATGAATTGTGATTAAAAATCTTCAATATTCATCATAAAAATTTTTGAATAAAAAACTGTCTCCCATTATAGTTAGTTGAAAAAAGAATATATACTAATATAGTTGAACCAATTAATGAAAGTCTAACCCTGACAACAAAGAAAAAAACCGAAAGAAAGTGAGAAAGAGTGAAAGTCATGAAGTTATTCCAGCAAAAAAAGACTATCAAAATATTTATCCCAAAAAAAGATTTTTTTATTATAAGATGTTCAGACTTGCGCCGATTATTCCTTTCAAACTCAATAATTAGTCACCATGACATAAATTAGATTAAAACAAATCTTGAGAGGTATGTACAGAGATTGAACTTAAGATCTTTTAGTTACTAAAAAACAAATCTAACCACCGGACCACCCAAAAAAAAAAAACCAATTTATAAGGGTGGCTCATGAAATATAATATATTACTACTTCAACTAGGATACAAATTTTCTCTCAAGAGGATCATTTACTGGGTTACCCAGAAAAACATAAAGAAACAGTAGGAACACTATTGAAGAAAATAAAGAGTGAAAATAATGACAGGAAAAAAAAAAAAGAACCATGCAAGAAAAAAGAAAAGGGAAAAAATTTGAAACCTGACCTGAATTACCAGAGGAGGAATATCCAAGAAATTGGGAGCTTCAACCCTATACAAAAGCTTCCTCCAAGACCTGTTTGGTTTTTTGGAAATATCAAGAAACTCCTCAACAGTTAAATCCATGAAAGCTTCAGCAAACACTGCACCTTCTCCATTACAGTCGACCTCAAGTTTATGTTCATCTTCTGGGCTTTTTCTCAACCTTCCAGCTAATGGATAGTATTCCACAAGAAGACTTGAAAGAGAACATTTTAAGCTCTCTGTGCTTAAAGATTTTTTGAAAAGATAAAGATATTTTATGGAAAATCTAAGGAACTTCTGATCATCAAGGTTGGAAAGATAAAGAAAATGATTTGGTGTTGGGCCGTTGGGAATGATTAAAGTAGGCTGCTTTGAGTAGAAACAATCTGGGAGTTCTGGATAGGTTGGCATGTTTGCTGTTCTTGCTACTCTCGCCGCTGATGCTGTTGCTGATGGAGAGAGAGAGAGAGAGAGAGAGACGAGTAAATTGAAAGACTAGGTAAGCGAGAGCTTTGTAGACAATGGAACATTGAGTCATTTGAATATCTACTGTTGGACATGATAGCGTACGATCAGATTCCTCCCAAGGGTAAGGCTGAAATGAGGGCAGTCTCATCCTTCTTTTTACCATTGGTTACAATTTATGTTTTTTTTTAATAAAAAAATTCATTTCATTTATAATCTGATTTTTTAACTTGTTTTTAAATTTATTGCTACTTACGTCCAAATTTGATATGAAAAAAAATTTTATACTATCTAAACCCGATAATTGCACCTAGAATATTTTGATATAACAATGTAACAGTGGAGAAGGTCTGAATAAATAAATATGTCTAATAAATTTTACACTACTTAATGTTATTCAATCATGTCGGCTAACTCGTCATTAAATGTGAATATAATAAGTGAATTTTTAGGTCCTTTGGGCATTGTGAGCTCATCTTTGAATAAGTACCGGACCTCAAAATAATCTGAGATAGTACAAGTCATAGGTACCAAGAAAAAAAAGAGACACACAAACACATTTAAAGTTTTTTTTTTAATTAATTTAATCACCCATCTATCAACAAATTCTAATTAGTACTATCATGTAATAATAATGATGTGATATCATATTATATTGAATATTTTCTTCGGGCTATGAGAGACAACTTTCATTCAGCATATCTCACTCTAATCCCTAATATTTTTCTATATTACTAATAAAAGTATTTTATCATGAAAAACGTTTAATTCATTATTTTATCTTTATAAAAAATTATAAAAAACACTCTATCATTCCATAATTAAATATCTAAATTATTATCATATCTTTATATATTTAAATTTTTAAATTACTTCTAAATAATTAAATATCTAACATCTCTTTAGTAATTTATTCTCTGTGTATAAATATCAATTTCTTTAAAAAAAAATTGATCAACTATATTATCCTTAAAAGATATAGGCACCATTAAAATTTTCAATAATATATTCAAAAACGTTTCAAAAAACTCCATCAAACCAACATTACTCATTTCATATGTAAAGATAATATTGTGCATATATGCGCACACACACACATATTCTAATTTTATTGAAAAATTTTACCCTTTCATTTTTAAGACAAAAAATATTCAGATAAATAATTTTTTTAAATTAATTTATGTTGGTATATCATAAAAAGAGAAAGTTATTTACACCAGGCGCACTGTACTTTTCCTTGCCCAAATGTTCGTCTTTCTAAGTAAAATAATGGTGAATTGGAGCTTCATAACGTTGATGAAGACTTACGAAGTGATGGTTCAGTTAGTAGAAGGGGCGACTTTGTCTCCTCGGGAGAAGAATAGTCCCGCTCCGTAGCGGATTACATAATACTTCAGTTATAATAAATTTTTCAAATTGTGTTTAAGATTTTGTGTAAAAATATATTGTAATGTATTTTTAATATTTTTATAATATACACTATAAAATAGTATATTAAATTTTATCAGAATATACTTGACTAATTTCTAATTACAATAATGTTCCAAATATTATTAGTATATATTGACAATTATTTTTTTTTATTCAATGAGTTATAAGTGAAATTCTAATCAAATTAATTTCAAAAAAATTATTTTTCAAATATAACTTAAAATCACTCTTAATCACAAAAATTTAAAAAAAAAATAGAACTCTAACTATTTTTTAATCTTCATTCTTTTAATTAGAACAACAAATCTTGAGAATATATAAAGTTTTCACAATTTTAAAATAAACTACGAGTGATGAAAAAATAAGTTTGATAAATTTTATATAATATTTAATTTAGGTACACATATACCTAATAGTTTTTATTAATTTTTTTGTACGAAAATTATTTACGTGCAACGCACATGATACATTGCTAGTATAAGCAAGTGGATGTATGTCATCCATGTATTCGGGTCGGGTCATTCATATAAGTTATTGCATTATGAATATGAAGCAAAAACTTTTAAAGATCTTCGTGCGTAAATCAAACCATTTGTATACAAATGTCGTAGTCCTTTTAACCCTTCGAGCAGGAAACAGTAGAGCATATAATAAATAATATCTAAACAACTCATACAAAAGTTTAAATGCCCACCTCCTCACGTACAAACAAGATTTTGAGTGAAATACAAAAGAACGACAGGAATTGAAAGTTATATTTTCTGATTTGATACCATATTAAGTGATCAACTCATTTAAAAGTTCTAGTTTTTATATATTTCAAACTTTATTTATGGACAAAAATTGTAGCGAGAACAGACTTATTATTTCAAAACTTAGAGGACTGGTATTTTGATGCTTCATGGAGGGTATTGTTTAAAAAGCAGAACAGTGGTCGGCCGCTAAACTCAAGCGAGTAGTAAAAAAAAAAAATTGATTTTGCAGGGTCATGTTCTCTGCAGTTTCGAGTTGTCTTCCCTTTTCTCTCACATAGAAACAAGGCAGCAGATTTCTCGGCCATTACAGGTATGATCNTTCAAAAAAATTATTTTTCAAATATAACTTAAAATCACTCTTAATCACAAAAATTTAAAAAAAAAATAGAACTCTAACTATTTTTTAATCTTCATTCTTTTAATTAGAACAACAAATCTTGAGAATATATAAAGTTTTCACAATTTTAAAATAAACTACGAGTGATGAAAAAATAAGTTTGATAAATTTTATATAATATTTAATTTAGGTACACATATACCTAATAGTTTTTATTAATTTTTTTGTACGAAAATTATTTACGTGCAACGCACATGATACATTGCTAGTATAAGCAAGTGGATGTATGTCATCCATGTATTCGGGTCGGGTCATTCATATAAGTTATTGCATTATGAATATGAAGCAAAAACTTTTAAAGATCTTCGTGCGTAAATCAAACCATTTGTATACAAATGTCGTAGTCCTTTTAACCCTTCGAGCAGGAAACAGTAGAGCATATAATAAATAATATCTAAACAACTCATACAAAAGTTTAAATGCCCACCTCCTCACGTACAAACAAGATTTTGAGTGAAATACAAAAGAACGACAGGAATTGAAAGTTATATTTTCTGATTTGATACCATATTAAGTGATCAACTCATTTAAAAGTTCTAGTTTTTATATATTTCAAACTTTATTTATGGACAAAAATTGTAGCGAGAACAGACTTATTATTTCAAAACTTAGAGGACTGGTATTTTGATGCTTCATGGAGGGTATTGTTTAAAAAGCAGAACAGTGGTCGGCCGCTAAACTCAAGCGAGTAGTAAAAAAAAAAAATTGATTTTGCAGGGTCATGTTCTCTGCAGTTTCGAGTTGTCTTCCCTTTTCTCTCACATAGAAACAAGGCAGCAGATTTCTCGGCCATTACAGGTATGATCTTTGGTGATATAGACCTGTGTTTTCCGTTATAAATTTTATTCCGAATCAACCCTTTCTCTCTTTTTTCNGGCCATTACAGGTATGATCTTTGGTGATATAGACCTGTGTTTTCCGTTATAAATTTTATTCCGAATCAACCCTCTCTCTTTTTTCACCGACTTTATTAGAAAAGCCGATCGCCCGACAACTGAGCACTCAAGATACTCATCAAGAAATGGCGATTTTGAGATGTTTGACTATCACTTTTCTTCATGCAAACGAGATCGATAATTTAATGGTGTTTGTTACCTTTTATTATTATGAGATCATTTATTCTACCACAAGACATGTTGTCAGTTGGTTTTTTGTTNGATTTTGAGATGTTTGACTATCACTTTTCTTCATGCAAACGAGATCGATAATTTAACGGTGTTTGTTACCTTTTATTATTATGAGATCATTTATTCTACCAAAAGACATGTTGTCAGTTGTTTTTTTGCTAGGAGGTTGGGAGACGAAATTATAAATGCCAGATTGGCGCCATGATGGACACAACACGTATGTCAAATGATGGGTACGACCATACTAGTACTATTGCCTAAAATCCTATTAGAACTTTGTTATTAAATGTGCTTGAACATGTATAATCCTAGGATGGATGACCCCAAGCAAGTCCTGGGTTGCGTCCTATAATCAAATGGTGAAATGTCCATTCTCTATTGTGATTTTTGGGGGTGGGTGCGTGTTGTTGTTGGGTGGCGGTGGGAGGCTCAGGTAAAGTTTGAGAGGTGAAAGAAACTTAGATGTTTATCAAACACTGTAATTTTAATTGTTTGCTGTTGAACTTTTGTCAGTAGAACCCTTGAAAGCTAATTTTTTTCCTTACTTTCGTTTGTCATTACTTTCACTGTTAATGGGTCAAAGTTAGAACAAGATGTAGCCTCGGCAATTCAACAACTAAAGCTGTCCTGTCTTTGACATAATGAAAAGTGATTCCTATCATATAAAGATTTCTCTGTCAAAAGAGGGGGAAAAATATAATGAAAGAAAAGTCAAAAAGATTAGAATCGAATTCTTAAAGTAATACCTATTAGAATCTAACCATGGAAATATTCTAAGACAAAGAATAAAGATGAATTNCTGTCCTGTCTTTGACATAATGAAAAGTGATTCCTATCATATAAAGATTTCTCTGTCAAAAGAGGGGGGAAAATGTAATGAAAGAAAAGTCAAAAAGATTAGAATCGAATTCTTAAAGTAATACCGATTAGAATCTAACCATGGAAATATTCTAAGACAAAGAATAAAGATGAATTTTTCACAGCTTTTTTACAGTGTGGAATTCTGAAATATGACAATCAAAATGCATTAATCCTCTATCAACTTGGTCTTCTTCTATGAAGGTACCAGAAGAAGGATCAAACCATCTCTCCAATGTCTATTCCTCCATTTTTAGATATTGGAGGAAACATGGAATCAAGTTCCTATCAAAGACACTCCAATTTTCCAAGCATATATATATGCCCTAATAATCTTCGGGCACAAAGGAAATTTAGACACCCTTGGTTTAACCTGCGTGCAAATCATTCTTCCAGAAAATACAAGCCTTTCATATTACTTAATGCATCATTCATCCATTTTTAATCAAAGTACAAGCTCTACATAAAATAAATAATGCTCTTCCCCTTCTCATACCAAAGGCTATTTTGGATTGAAGAATTCCTCATCCTTAAAGATGCCTCAGCATCTCTTTTTGACCACTTTTTGGCAGTAAGTACCACCATTATTGAAGCCAGGAAAACTGAACAAAACAAAAGCCCATTTACTAGGTTTGCCTATGATTACTGCAAGAAAATGTCAGGGTATGAATGTGTGCATATATATATATATATATATGACAATGCCTAGTGACAACTGATCAGCAGTAGGAGTATTCGGGTAAGAAATATAATCTTTCGTCTCCCTATCTGATATTTTACAGAAGAATTTTTTCTTAACTTACCTTACCCGATCAAGTATGATATTCCTATCCGACTTCCTACCTGATTAATCAGATAGGAAGTCGGGTAAACACTTGTAGCTATTAATTTTTAGATTATTTTAACAATTCAATTAAATAACATGCACCAATTTAATAACACAAAAAATCAATAACACTAAAACATAAAACAACTACAACAACAATTACAAAAAAACACAAAANAATTTAATAACACAAAAAATCAATAACACTAAAACATAAAACAACTACAACTACAACAACAATTACAATAAAACACAAATAAACATGAACATCAATCCATCATAGTTGTTACACAAATACAATAACAATTATTTTAAGTTTAAACTATATGAAATACATTAAAATCATAACTGCTCCAATAGATCATCAGTTCACTACAAATCATGTAACCTACACAAAAATTAAGTCAATGTTTTAACAACTTAAACATCCACAACAATAATAATGTTATAATATAAATTATACCACACAAATACTCTTATAATTACTTAAAAAAATATAAAAAAAATAAATATATTTTTGGCAGGTAGGAATGCAAAAATTGATGGATATTCCGCATTCCTACCCTATTTAATCCGAAGACAAAAAACTCTTCCGTATTTCTACCCGATTTTTACGGCTAGCTATTCAGTACGGTTGAGTAAAGTCGGTTAGGATAGAAAATTACTGTCAATCGAAAATTTGAACACCCCTAATCAGCAGCATAGACTTTATATCTCATGTTTCTACGGTCGTTAATGGTGGTTTAAGATGGGTGCCATCCTTCTAATCCACAATTATTTTTAAGTTGGCACGAACCCTTAGATTTGTGGCAGTTTAATGTGCATTCTGGAAAGCAACAGCACCGGAATGAAGTTAACATCAGCTTGCGAATGCATCCGTCACTCAGTATGAAGTTGTATCATATGCTGTAAATTTCAAGAGAAGAGAAGACAGTAAATAAAGGGTCGATACAACTTTATAAAATTACGAATATTAGCAGGCTAAATGTACAATTTCCACGTAGTATAACACCCCCCCCAAAAAGAAGAAAAAAAAAAAAACCCTCTTAATCTTTTTCCCTGTTAAAGCAACAGAAGAGCAATGCAAAAGCAAAATATGACTAGAGGTCAAAACGTAAAATCTAAAAACCAGGAAGAATTACCTCATGTGCCTCGAGAAAAAATTTTCATTTGAAAACACACAAGAACATTATTGTGAAGAACCTAAAATGACAATGTCAACATCAGTCCTCCAACTGACATTTACGTTCAGTCCAGCTTTCATGCGTCAGACCCAGATTGCCCTCATCTCTGCTATTTCCTTGCTTTAGGTAGCTCCTACGAGCTTTCTGAAGTGAAACTAAACAATAACAGCATGCGTCAAGCAGTAAACACCCAATCATTCAAGAAATACGTAGTTCACTTCAAGAACTTCCTTACCCCCATGGTTACTTCCTAAAACTAAATTAATAGGTCATATATCATACTCTACAAATTACCTCTCCCTTTTGTAGTCCAATGAATAAGCAAAACATAGTCACAGCAATGACACAAAACACCATGTGAATGTCAGCAATGTAGCCAATGGAACAAAGAAAACAGAGATTTGGGTCATGAAAAATGGAATCAAGTCCTGGGACTACAGAATGGAAGGGATTGGTGAGACAACAGGCAATTTCAATAGAACTTCAGCTTGAAATGGATGTGGATCTACTGGTAGAGGAAACAATTGATAACTCATTTTATTTTAATGGTGTATATTAGCCAAATTAAGCAGTAGCATACACAGGGAGAGGAGTTTGCTTTTAAGTGACTCAAAAAACTGAACGTGAAAGAGGGATAGGGAGGGGTGTATGGCCATAGATACTGTCACCCGACGACTTTCATGCAGTGGTACATATTACTTTTGTCTGGTTTTCTAGGAGTAATGCAATTTTCTGGATTGCTTTTCACATGCAATAAAACATGACAACAAATAGAGGGGTTTTACAACATACACTACAAAATGAATTTTGATCTACTCTTCACAAAGGCAGAGAAAACTTTCATGGTTACTTGGAATACAGATCTAGTCCTCTCTTCTGGTTTTTCTTCTTACAGGTTTTTTCTAGGCTTAAAGGGGGAGGAATAAGGAGTTCGGAAGCAGAATATTATCTGATGCTGAAAATTGAAATATGAGACATGGAAAAGAGAGCAAAAATAAGAAAACAGGACAGAATACTCAAAAACAGGAATTGCTTAATATATCTGTAGCAATGGCAACCCGAACTGCTTGAAGAATGTAATGAGGAGAGAGGCGAGTAACCAAAACTGCTACTCAGTGAGCAGCTGAGCGAATCCTTTGAAGTACGCCCCACTTCCCAATCCACACTGAGAGTAAAGATTTTAAGCCTCTGTCAATTTGGACTATGGCCCCAATGAGGCTTAATGTGATGGAGTACTGCAGCATGCATGATGTCATTAACGCCGCCTTCAAGAATCACATAAGACCATCTGTGTGCCCAAAGAGCTGATTTCTTAGCAGCGAGAGCCTCTGTTCCTTAAACACCATTGCCTAGAGCACCGTCCCCTGAGAATCTCTTGTTCTCTGACACTGAAAACTCAGTGGTGGTCGTTTTTATGTCTTCAAAAATATTGTCTGGATCAATCTTGATCTTTGGCCATTGCGCTTTGTTCCCCTAGTCCCAAAGCTTGTATATTAAAGTAGCACCAAGAAGTATGAAATGATGCATCGATAGAGCTCTCCAAAGAGAGTTTGTCGGAATCATTTCGGGCTGCCTTCCAGTCAAGTTACATTCACATTCAAATCAATGGACAAACAAAACCAATCAACATACTTCTGCTCATACTTGAGCCACAAAGACGTGAAAACTATCTGAAATTCTAATAATCAGGAGAGACATAAACAAAAAAACAATGTACATGATAAGAATAAGGATATCATGGGCGTCAAATGCAACCTTTTTGTCCTCATTACTCAAATGCAACTTTTTTCTCTGCACAACACCCAAAAGCAATATATTAGCTTTCAATGAGGAGCAGGGAGCAACAAATAGACAGTAACACACACACACATGATTGCATCTCGAAGCCAAACATTTTTGGTTGTTAACCTCAAAATGATCACATCTTTTATCTGGAGAACACGATAATTTTAAAAGATGCTAAAAGCTAGAACTATGAATTAGGATTCTTTCTGCAAACTTTTCAGATAGTAATCCATATTACTCTACATGCATTAGTCAAAACACACCTCAAATATTAAAATGTAATATATTTGCTCCAACAATTTTCTCTCTCATTGCCCCCAACAAAGGTTGAAAATGAATAAAGACTTCAACAAAATCCCTAATAGAACTTCCAAATATGATCTCAGATGAGATTACCCGACCTGGTTGTCCAAGTACTTAGAAATTCCTAGCAATAAACAGAGTACTTACAATTCATAAACACCAACGCCGGTTCCTTCACAAACATTATGCTATTGATATGCGTGGAAAAAATAACATTATATGTGCGTAAGCTTTATATTTTGTGTCTTCATAATCCACCTTTCTTTTAGGTTATAATACGATCCACATCTTTTTTGTTATGTTTAAAAAATATATAGGAGACCATAGCACCTTATTACTTATTGTTGCTTCCTTGTGGTGTCTTATAGATGTCTACTGGGCCCTCTTTTCTGGTTTCAACTTTCCTAACCTACACATGTGGCAATGTAATGGGAAAAGTGAAGTTCATTTTAAATCCAAATAAGTGTATAAGGCTGGGTAATGCCATAATCAAGCAAATAGCAGAAATCCAAAAACAATAATCATACCAACAATGGATATGGCAAAGAAAATAATAATGTGCGGTAGCCTTCGTGTTAGACAGCAAATGGAAGCCACCTAGCACGACTAATATTCATAATTATACTGCGATGAGTGCAAAAACTTTCAAATTTTGATTAGATACAAAATCACTAGATAATGGGGGTGAGAAACAAATACAAACATACCAATCAAGCATTAGGCACCGGTTGAAACCAGAAGTTCACAGGTTTAGTCTCACCCTGAGTCTTTGTGATGTAAATTTACAAAAGAGAGAAAACATATTCAATAACCCCGAAGAGATATTTCCAGCTGCTCTATTTTTTTAGCTAGATCATGCTTCCCACAATTCTTTAATCCATCAGTAACCATGTCAAAGTTTCGCGACATGGGCGACAAATTCAACTCCGTCATCTCAACCAAATAATTAGCAGCCTCAACAAATCTACCACCACGTCCACACATCTTTATTAACATGGTATAAACTGGCCGATTTGGTGCATGTCCCTTCACCTTCATATCACTGAAAAAGCTAAATGCATCGTCAAATTGACCTCTCCTACAAAGCGCCTTTAGAATTGGAGCATATAAACTAGGAAATGGCCGGTGCCCATCCTCGATGGAGTTATGAAGAATCTTAAATGCCTCATCAATCTTACCCACTTTAGAAACTGTGGTTATCATGATTTTATAAGTCTTGATATCAGGACAAAGCCCCAGTCTACACACATCATGGTAAAGCTCAATACAAAAATCAACCTCCCCGGATTTGCTTACAGCTTCTGCCAAAGAATTGAACGTGCCCACGTCTGGCACGAATCCTTCCTTGGTCATTTTCCTCACTAAGCCTCTTGCGGATTCGAGATAGCCCGCATTCAACAACCCATCAATCAAAAGGTCCCGTCCTCGCACTGGTGGATTGAAACCCTTTCGACTCATCTCCTCTAAGAACTCTTGGGCCTCGCCCATTTTGCCCGCCGAGCACCACCCATTAATCAGAATCGAGTAAGTCCTCTTATCAGGGACTGCATCTTTTCGAACCATCCTCCGAATCAATGCATAAGCGCCTTGAAAATTCTTAACCTCACAGAGAGCAAAAAGCAAGGAATTGTAAATTTCTGTAGTTTGGGGACAATTAAAGTTCTTAGAGCGATTGAAGAGTTCTACGGCTTGATCAATGAGACCGTGCTTACCATAATGCTCAATGATAAAGGAAATGACAGTGGGTGAAATGGAGATGTTCCGAGATTTCATTTGATGAGCAACTTTCCACATGGTCTCCCAATGGCGTGTGCGAGCTAGGGTTTTTAGGAGTTCTTCGAATTCAAAGGTTGTTGGATCATACTGAGGATGGTGTGTTCGCGCCCAATTGAAGAAGCGAAAGGACTCAATTCCACAGTTGCAGCAGCTGCGTAGAACACGGTATACTAGCTCAGAGTTAACAATGGTGGAAATGCACATCTTGTTAAGGGTTCTCTCCATGTAAATGTCACGCCGGACTATGTTGGAAACATGGTGGATTGTTGTGAAATAGTCGTCGTTTGATACGCCTCTGCCTCCTCTTCCTGTTGTGTTGCTTCCATGTTCGGTGGCAATGGTGTTTGTAATGGTTTTGAGGCATCTTAGTGTTACGGTGGAGGTTGTGTTGGGGTTTCTTCGGAGACGAAGAATGAGTCTTCCAGAGAGAAGCATTTGGGGAAATTTGCTCCAAAAATGCAAAATATGAGAAGAATTGCTCTTTTAGGATACGCCGTCGTTTCAAAGGAATTTTAAGATGAAGGTTGAATGACATCTTGCACCCCAAGATACTTTTATATTTGTAATATTATAATTATAATTTTTTTCCAACAATTCAAAATCAAAATATCTATCATAAGAATTAACCCCTTATAATTTAGTAAATATTAAATGTAAATGTGACATCACGTTATTATTGTTATATGATATCATTATTCAATAATAAATTTATAAGTTGGCACAGTAAACCCCCACTTTTTTGTATCTGATAATTAAGTAAAATTCCCTTACATGATTGTTTATTATTAAAGTGTGACATCATATATCAATGGTGATTTAGTATCACTATTATATTAACAATTTTCTCCTTAGCATAAATTGTATCGATTGTTCTTAAAGTTTATCATTAATCAAACTTTTGTCCCTCAAATTTTAATTTTGTCAACTTAGGCTTCAAAATTACACATTGCGATAATTTGGTCCTTGACACAAACAATCGTTTAAATAACAGTTGAAAAATGTCATCTGCTTTGGCACATAAGGGTAGGGGCATTTTTGTTATTGTACTTCCAAAGAAAAGGGGCACAAATAAAAAAAACAATTCTTTAAACAAAAACCAAGAATTAAATCGGTAACCCCTCCACCCTTCCCCCATCGTGAACCCTTATCGGCAATTCTCTATTACCAATGACCAGATCCCCACACCCCTAACACTATCGCCGATGCCCCTAATCCCTCGCGGTCATCCCCAACATCTACGATCATTACCAAAACTCTCTCTCTCTCTCTCTCTCTCTCTCTCTATTTAGTGCAAAACAAATAGAGGGTATGAACCCTAACCCTAATCAACAATCTCTATCTTCCATCACCACCCAAAAGTTCAGATAACCACTGTCATTCATAACCATCAACGAATAGTAACAACTATATATTGAAGCTCATTGCAATAACGTAGATAATGGGTTACTNAACAACTATATATTGAAGCTCATCGCAATAACGTAGATAATGGACTATTGCCCCCACTTGAGCGAGGGAATTTCAAAGGGAGATAAACTGAGACTTGGAGAGAAATTCACAACCAAAATCATATACACAATGTAGATTTAATTCTACATCAATTCAAATTTGAAAGATCAATACTATAAAGAGAGAGAGATCTTAAAGTTTAATTCCACATCAATTCTAATTCAAATAATGTATTTCTTAGATTGTGGTTGGTTATTTATGTGTTTGCGCGTGTGCGAGAAAGGGAGGGAGAGAGAAATAGTGGGTTTGTGAATGTGCGCTATGTAGAACTTAGTGTGAGCGTTTGAGGGTTTGTGAGAATGTTGTGGGTGTGCCAGTGGTTCATACAAAAATAGAGATAGAGAAGGATGCTCGATTTCAAAGGTAAAGACCGAAACATAGAGACAAAGTTGGAGAGGGATTGATGAATGAAGAGAGCTAATTTGGGAAAGAGAGATGTAGTGTGTTGTTTGTGAGTAAGAGAGATAAAAGAAAAAGAAGAAGGAGAAGATATATGTTGGGTTGTATGTTTAATATTATTTAGATAAGGGATAATGGTGTTTAGAATAAGGGATTGTTGTAAAATATAAAAAAATGCCCCTTAATATCCTCATGTGTTAGACACATGACATTTTTCATCTATTATTTAAATGGCAGTTAGTGTTAATGACCCAATTAACATAATGTGTAACTTTGAAGACTAAATTGACGAAATTAAAATTTTAAAGACCAAAGTTCAATTAATGGTAAATCTCAAGGACCATTGATATAATTTACCTTTTTTCCTTGTCATCCTCAAAGAATTTAAAAAGAGTGGATGATTCTTTATACTTTAAAAAAGTGGATGATATTTTATACTTTTAGAAAATTTTAAATTCTTATATTAGGCCCTCAAGCCTCAATCAAATTAAAAGATAACAATATGGTTCTTACTTTGTTCAACAATTTCTTTTAATGTTTTTTTTTATATTTTTATTTTTTAAATATTTTTCATAAACATTTTATACCCAATTTTATTAAAACAAATCACACCACTACAATTTTAGCTGATTAAGAGAACAAATATAAAAATTTCAAATTTTTAGAATATGAATTAAGAATTTAAATATTTTTTGAGGTACAAAATGTTATTTATCCTAAGATTTTTATTTTTTTTTGGATCAAAATCCTTAGATGAAAATGTTATATTACCAATGATCAAAATATCGTTTTGAAATGATCGGAATATCCAAAATATTTCTATTTTTAAGGAGACCGAATGAAATAGTGATGAAATCAAAATTATAATATTTCAAGGTATTCCAAAATGTTTCGAAATGTTTTATAATATTTCAATATATTTATACAATTATTTCGAAATGTTTTAAGGTACTTTGATATATTTCAATCAAGTTTTTTAAAAAATATTTTTTAAATTTTTTATTTTTCTCATTATATTTTCAAAATACATCGAAACATTTTCAAAATATATCGAAACATTTATGTTTCCTACATAACTAAAATAACACACCGAAACAAAATTTTAACGGAGTCTATCTATAAACTTTTGCTTGGGCAAAATTAAAAATAGTTTTTTAAAATGAAAAAAAAAACCGTACCTGTCGTAACGAGAGTGAAGGCCGGGGAATAATAATAATAATAATATTTCGCATTTCAACATTTTTTTATCATTTTTTGTGTGTCGTCTTCTTCATCGCTGATCCGCTTGGCATACTCTGATCGGGACGATATAACGAATCATTGAGCTAGTCTCTCACCGCGTCTGGGATCCAAAGATCTCTGCTTTAACAACATATGTCTGTGTCCACATCTATATCTACATCGTCGCCGAAAAATGAAGATGTGCATCGCATCAAAGAGCGACAAGTCGTGGTGTTTTGATCTGATTTCAGAGAATTAGGGTTTTGGATTTGTAGAAATAGGAATTTGAGTGGGAACTGTGATGATAGTGTAGAAGTGCTGAGGAATTTAAGATTGCAGAGGTCGGATGGGGTTTTCTTGAAGAATTGAAGGTTAGAATTAGGGAAATTTGGCAATTTTTGAAGGATTGTTGCTCAAGTCCGGAGAGGTTCAACTACGATCGCGGTTGGTGCATATTGGACTGCATATTGTGGGAGAAACTTGCAACGAACTATTTGAGAGCATGAACTTGTGGCAAATTGAAGAGAGAACGGCGAAAGTGCAGATCTTTCTGTGAAGAGAGTCGAAGTAAAAGGGTAGGGCGAAAGATCGCAACTTAAAGGTTTGTCCTTTTCAAATTTGCTTCTTTTGTTGAGTTGAGTTGAGTATGAACAATTTGTGACTTCGTTCTTCCCTTTTACAGCTTTCTCGCTTCAAACATGATTGTTCGTTCATTACTATCTTCAGTTCACTGTCATCTTTGACCTGCCTTAGTACTTTTGTCTATGCTTTAAATTTCCCTTTTTGGGCAATATGAATGTCTATATTTGTGGTCTTCACATCTTTGTTTCGGGTACATTGCACCGTTCCTTTAAATTTTCCTATTTTATTGTGCTTTCCTCTATCACAGTGTGTGCATGGATTTTAGTTCTATACTGCATAAAAGAATAATTTTATCGGGTAAAAGGCTAGTATTAAGCAGCCATATAAGTAAGCACACTGCTTTGTATAAAATTGAAATTACACAAGCGAGAAAAGTAAAGAGCAGTTTTGGTAGTTCATGGGACCGTGGCTGGCTTCTATCTATTCTCTCTGATAGATTCTTCTCGATATTGTGCTGTACATGAATCTGTATATTTTATTGAGCTATATAACTCATCAAAATCTTATTAGCATATTGCAATCTCTTCGTTCCCTCTCATACTGGACACACCCAATGGGAAGAGCAGTTAGACACAGATTATGTCACGTTTTGATGTATAATAAATATTGAACCACTGCATTGTGGTGGTAAACTTGATACTTTTAAAGAACCAATCAGATATCATGAATAGGGTTGCAAAGCATGGCAGCCATCACAATTCTCACTCAAATATGCCCGATGTTTGGAATTATGGGATGAAATGCAATTCTATAGCTGATCCTTTACTATCAGTCATGGTCTTGGCTAAATGGTCACATATGCCATCTTAAGATGTGGGCAGTTTCTGAAAATACGATGAATTTTTCTTCTAATAGATCCAATCTATTTATGATGATTTGCAGGGAAATGGCTACACCTGTTGAGCCTCCAAATGGGATTACATCCCTAGGGAAGCATTACTATTCCATGTGGCAAGCCTTGTTTGAGATAGATACCAAATATGTGCCCATCAAACCTATTGGCCGAGGGGCCTATGGTATTGTGTGCTCTTCCATTAACAAGGAATCCAATGAGAAGGTCGCAATCAAGAAGATACATAATGCATTTGAAAATCGTATTGATGCTTTGAGAACTTTGCGTGAACTGAAACTTCTCCGCGATCTTAGACATGAAAATGTGATTGCTTTGAAAGATGTTATGATGCCCATCCACAGGAGAAGTTTCAAGGATGTCTACTTGGTTTATGAACTTATGGACACAGACTTGCATCAGATTATCAAGTCCTCTCAAACACTTACAAATGACCATTGCCAATATTTTCTCTTCCAGGTATGTCATTGAAATAGTGATATATACACAAATCATTTGCTGATTGAATTTCAAAATATTCGCTATGCATGTGAAAATTTTCAAAAACCTGGATTATTGTGAATTAATTTATGAATAAGGGGTTGACCTTTGTCTGATACGCTTGTGTATGGCCAGTATATGTTCAAGAGCTTGGTAATTCAACCTATGTTGTGTAATTTGATTGTTATATTGGCCTGTGTTGTGTACTTTTTTTCATCTATTTCATAAGTAAATATTTGTCCGAAAGCACCAAAAAGGGTGTGCAACATAATTATATTCTTTAGCACAACTTTTTGAATTATGATTACCATACTTGCACACAAATCTGATGCTGGTGATGGAATGCCACAATAAGTTCAAATATCAATTCCATCTTGAAACTTTGCTACAATATGACTTTGCTTTCTGTGGGTTTGTTGTATTAGCAGCTTTGTTTTTTTTTCCCTCATTTTTACAGCTAAAATTTAGATATCATTGTTGTATGATGCTTGTAAACTGTTCATCGGGTTCATCAGGTTCATCAGGATGCTCTATAACTCTCCTTTAGCTCCCCTGTTGTTGACATTTGACCACACATGTCAAATTTAGGGACAAATGATGCCATTACTAATCATTACATGTAAATGCCATAAATTTTTTTTCATGGAATTGTTGTAGACAGTGAGGTACATTTTCACCTATAATGATCTTGAGTACCAGAGAGTTTTTCCTTGATTCTTATTTTTTGTCGTCCTTGGACATCTGAATCGTCTTTATTGACATATTGCTTAGGTAGAACATTTTTTGTTTGCGTAGAGTATTTTAGATGTTTCTGATCATCGTCTAGTTTTCCAGACATGACAGCGTTCATAATCTTTGCAATATTTTGTATGGCTCCTTGTGCCTGTGAAACGAATCTGATTTTGTCCATGCAGTTGCTTCGCGGCCTGAAGTATCTCCACTCAGCAAACATTCTTCATCGTGACTTGAAGCCTGGCAACTTACTTATCAATGCAAACTGTGACCTAAAAATTTGTGACTTTGGTCTTGCTCGTACAAATAATAATAAGGGTCAGTTCATGACGGAGTATGTGGTTACTCGCTGGTACCGGGCCCCAGAGCTTCTCCTATGCTGTGACAACTATGGGACTTCTATCGATGTGTGGTCTGTCGGTTGCATCTTTGCTGAGCTTCTTGGCCGGAAACCCATCTTCCCTGGTACAGAGTGTCTCAACCAGCTTAAACTGATTATCAACATCCTTGGCAGCCAGAGGGAAGATGATATTGAGTTTATTGATAACCCAAAGGCAAGAAAGTACATTAAATCACTTCCGTATTCCCCTGGCACACCCCTTTCCCGACTTTATCCCCATGCCCATCCTTTGGCAATTGATTTGCTACAAAGGATGCTTGTCTTTGACCCTTCGAAGAGAATTGGTGTTACTGAAGCTCTCCAACACCCTTACATGTCTCCACTGTACGATCCAAACTGTGATCCTCCAGCACAGGTGCCAATCGATCTGGACATAGACGAGGATTTAGGGGAAGAGATGATAAGGGAGATGATGTGGAAGGAAATACTTCATTACCATCCTGAAGCTGCCACTGCGAATGCAGAGGTAAACTCATAACTTTCATTTCTTCGGTGTTGGAGCGCGTCCATTGAAGGTGGTTGTGTTGTGATAGTACCACTAGTTTTCCTTTTTATTTATTCTCTCCTTTTCTTCTATTCTAATAATCAAGAGAAATAATGCATTAGCAGTTTGTGCTGTTAATGCATGGTGTCGCAAAAAACTTCGTTTAGGGGCTTCCTTATGAGATTTGGCTCCATGAATGGAGCCATTTATGTATTTGTGTGTGCTGTTTTATGTCAAACACCTCTTCTTTTTTGAAGGAAAACAACTTCTGTACATTTGCTACGGATATTTGGCAATACTAGTATGGTGTTTGTAAATCAATATCTCTCCCCCTCCCCCAAATTCAAGCCGAGGAGCCTTTTCTCGATTTGCATAGCATTAGTATATATTATGTTTTCTGCTCTACAAACAGCCAATAAACAAGGTTGCAATTGTCACCCTGGGCCTATTGTGTCATACCTCTGGGCCCAAAAATGATTGGTGGGTATGAGGCAGAACACCAAAACATGGGCAGAAAAAGTAGCCACTAGCTAGGCAGTCCACACCCCTCCCTACAGAGAAACAAGAATAATGATTTGGCCCGTTTGTCTAAGCTGATTATTTCTTGGGTCCTTCGAGGCTGGTTCTTTTTTTAGTAGATTTATTTGGACTTAAAATCTACTAAAAAAAAATTTGTTTGAGAATAAGTTTATTTTGACATCCATTATTTAAAATACTTTCAATAGTTATATTTAATCAAAACTTCTTTGAAAAAATTAATATTTCATAAATTGAAAATTGTATTAGTATTAACAACTTAGTGTTTGCACTAAGGATCTAATTAGATTCAAACTTAGATTTGAAACAGGAACTTTTTCCTTATTAGTCGGAGTACATGTGTACTCCTTAATCTTTAGTAAAGGCAGATTACGCAAAAAAAAAAATTGAACAGTCTCAACGTCCTTGTTCAGAGTCGCTTTACAAGACGTTTGGCAGTCTCTGACTTGGTCTTCGAATCGTATGCCTTAGCCCGTTTCCAGCTTGACTTGCTCTCAGGTTAGCCTTTCTATTTGACTAAGTAGTATTCTACTGATCAATTATGATATTCTCAAATTCTTTAGTAGGTTCATCTACAACATCTAGTTATGCCTACACTCCTAATTTGGGAATTACATTAGCATTAAAATTATTTTTCTATCATATATCTACATAATAAAGTAACTTACAATTCAAATCTCAAAAGATAAACAAAATGATTTTTGCTATTCGCGGTTGAGATCGCTTTAAATTTTATTTTAAAGTTAATTTAATAGCTAATATTAATACTCCAATTTAATAGAAAAAATAGGTCCCTGAGGGTGTGTTTGGAGTGATTTTTTAAAATAACTTATACAAATTATTTATCATAAGTATTTTAAAAAAAATTAGTGTTTGAAACCGTCCCACCACTACCTCTACCACCATCACTACCTCTGTCACCGCCACCGCCACTGTTGTCGTCGTCGCCACCACCCCCACTATCGTTGTCGTTGTCGCCGCCGCCACCACCGCCATTATCACCACCAACATCGTCACCGTCGTCACCCCTACCATCGTTGCCGTCGTTGCCACTGTCGCCACCACCATCTCTACCACCGCAGCCACTGCCACTATGGTCATTGTCACACACCACAATCATCACCTTCTCCTACCACCACTACTCCTGTCCACCACCTCTTACCCCCCACTGCAACCGATATTTAAATTCATTTATTTTTCATCTAGGGTTCGTTTGTTTAGCAGGATAATAATAGAAAATGCAGGGTTCGTTTGTTTAGCAGGATAATAATAGAAAATGCAAGAACGAGAAAATTTTAAAAATTTTCATGTGCTAGGTTAGCATGAAATACAAAATGATGGAAAAAAATAATTTTCTTCCATATTTAGATTTTCTCACAACTAACCAACTTTTTTTTTTTTGGTAAAAAACACAAGGAAATGCAAGAAAGTAAAAATCTAATGTTACCCTTATTTTTCTTAAAATATTTTATTGGTTATTAATTTTAAAAAATCTTAGTATGAATTTGATTAATCATATAATTTAGTTCTGAAAACTTGGTCCTGCTGCCTGTCCCAGAATTAGGTTAGGAGCCATTTTTTTAAAATTTTAATTATAATAAATATTTTTTACTTCTTTAGATCAATTTAATATACTTAAGGGTAATTTAGACAATTAAAAAAAATTCATTATAACTTTCATTTCTTTCAAATAATTGATTGAAATTTTTTTATGCTAACCAAATACATGCATGAAAATATATTTTCTTTCATTTTCTTTTCTTGTACTTCACTTTCTATCATTTTCACTTTCCCTTATTCTTTTCTTCCTAACTAAACGGACCCCTATATTTGTGATTTGATTTTATATATGAATACAAATATATTTATTATTTTTTATTTTTTATTTTTCTGTGCCTTTAGGCACATGCAATAACTAGTATATATATATATATAATAACATTAAACAATAACATGATCAATAAAAAATTTAATTCTTATAATAGAGTGAAAACATACGGTGAATACTTATTTTGTTATAAATATATATATAATTTTAATTATAACACAAATTTCAAGTTATGAGTTGTTATATTTGAAAGAATTGAAACTAACAATGATAATAGACACCGATATTTAAATGCTTTAGATGGTTGGGTATACTTAGCCGCGTGATATTTAAATGCTTTTTCTATTTATCATGGTGTAGGAGTAGGAGACACCGAGTTAAGTAGGTGACAGTGTTTGCTTAATTTGTGCAGTGAACCTGGACATGCAATTATAGTAAGGAAGATTTCGAAAGATTTGGTCCTTCATTATGATGGAGTGTGTTTATATATATATATATATACACACTCATATACTGTAATTTAAAGAATCAACTTTTGAGGAGAGGGGACTAAACATTTTTTTACTCCTCAAATCTTATTTTCTCCTAATTTTAAATAATTTAATTACTAAAAAAATATTGCTCTTTCAAATGAATTCCAACATATGATCTATGTAACAAATTTTCAAATTTTTTTATTACTGCACAAAGAATAACTTTTTTAAAAAATATCAAATTAGCACATAATGCTAGGATGGATTGGGAGGTAGGAGTGGTGGTAGTGCGGGGATGAAAGTATGGGCTGACGATAGAGAGATATTACAAATTGAGTAGTGCTATTAGAACATATAAAATTGATCTAATGATGTAACAATGACATAGTTTAATAGTATTATTATGATGTAGTATTATATCACTTGACACATCATCATATTAATAAATTAGATCAATTTTTAAGGTCTTAACAGTATTACTCACAAATTTAATGCATTAGACAGGATGACAGCAATATAATAATAGTAATGTTTGGCAGGTTGATGAAAGCATCCAGTGCTTCGGAGTAACGACGGCACATGTGGTAGTCAGATTTTGAGTTCTAAAGCTGTAAAGACTATGATTTTTTTTTGGTGGCACATGATTAATATGTTCATATGATCGATTAGGAACGCCGTAGCTACTTTTAGACCACTTTAAATAAAGATAGTCTTAGCGTTTTTAGGTCATATTCTGCTTTAAGACCCTGTTTCGTGGAACCCTTGAATCGTGTCGGGTGAAATAAGTTTGTGTCAAAAAAATATTTCATCCATATCGTATTCATTTATATAAACGAGTCTAATTATCACACTCATACACGAATTGTTTATTAGATGGATTATCCGATATTACCCGTGTGTCACCCGTTAAATAAGAGAATAAGTTAGATAATTTCAAGTTTACATGAAAAATCATTAACTCACCACACATTACACATGTTTGACATATTTACTATAACAATAAATCATGACTGAACAAAAAAATAAAGATAAAAAAAAACATTAAATGACTATTAAATTTGAATAATTCTGAGAGATGGGAGGTGTGAGATGAGACAGAGGCTGAGAGACCTAACTTGTTTTTTAAAAATTTATTGTATCATTTTTAACAAGTTAAACGGGTTAAAACGAGTTTATGGGTTAAACACGAAATCGGTACATTTATTTCACGGGTTTGTCGAGTTAACTCGTTAACCACTCGAACCCGTTAAAACTACACCAAAACCTGCTAAATCCGTGTCGGGTTCGTTTTGATTATACGAGTCGTGTCTAAAATTGTCTGCCCTACTTGAGACTATTCCAATACATGCTAGCAATAAAGAAAATTCCATTAAAGTGTACATGTTTTTGTGCTTTTATTATATAGTCTAATTTTAAATTTATGCATATACCCCTTCACAGTCACACTCCATCAACAGTGCTTTTGTGAAGCCAAATTACTCCAAACTTTATATAAATTGACTAGTCTATGGTACGAGATTTTCATCATCATAAAAAAAAAAGATAAAAAAAAAATAAAATGTATGTAATATTGCTCTTACGTAATAGTTTTTGTCACTCTTACGTAATAGTTTTCGTCACTCGTGCCATCTTGGTCATAATAGAACAATATTATCCATTCACTAAGACCAGCCCTCAAATAGCTTTGTCCATAGGGTGAGCGATTCAAGGCAAATCTCACATTATCTCTCCCGTTTTTTTTTGTACGATATTTAGTCAAGACTCTATTACTTAGTTGATCAAGATAAGTCCTTGGATATGGTTTGATCAGTCTATATTACTCATTGTACATCAGAGTCCATGAGTTCCATGACCATGCAAGAATAGTTGTGGCGCAGATGCATATTGTTTCATATGTAAATATTGAAGCTTTTTACATGCCTCTGCTGATTTACATTATCCTTTCAAAACTAAGGATGTCAAAGTTGAAGAAGGTCCCAACATACATGCATACGTAAGTACATACATATATGCATTCATCATACATGCATGCCATGATGCATGCTTTGATGCCTTTTTTTAGCTCAAATGGCTGCCTTTAGGATGAAGCAAGTTGAAAGACTGGATAAGAAACCCTAGAAGATAATTGGCACGTACAAAACTAGACAGGGAAAGTAGGAATGGCACCACTACCTATCTTCTTTCCTTTATTGTTTTGTGATAGTTACTTTAACACTGTTCGTCCATTCACGGCCGAGTTCTTATGTTGGAAAACTTTAGTTGCTGTTTTTTGAGTTCTCAAAATGGGGGACATGAGCCACACAAATAATAAAGGAGAAAGTGATGGACGCCATAAGCCTTCCATGCTAAAGCAGCACATGGGTAGAAGAAGAAACAGGCATGGTGAGAATTCAGCATTTAGCCAGAGTAGAGGACTGTAGGTAACGCTTGAAACTGAAGTTGGACATAAAATCTCATAAATTCTTTTTTTT